TTGTACCTGTACATGATGTATCTTGGTTCTTATTTTTTTCCCCATTACCTGTGCGCCATTCACCCCCTCCACCCTTCCCTATTTACATAGACTTCATTTACCTTTTTTTTTGTTTTCTCATAATTTTTCCTTTCCTTTCTTTCCTTTCCCCTTCCCCCACCCCCCATCATCCCTATCCCTTTGTACCTTTTCTTCCTATATAAAATTGTCAATTATTCATTTTAATCATTTCAGTCCTTATTTACACTTTCGGTTTATCACACTAGAGAAACTATTTGATATTTACACGTGTGTCCTATTTATTTCACTTAAGAGTATGGCCTCAATATGGATCCATTTAGCTATAAATGTTTCTAGTTTCCCCTTCTTTATGACTGAGTAGTACTCCATTTTATATATATATAAAAAAAATCTTCTTTATCCAGTTTCCAGTTGGTGGGCACTTGGGATGTTTCCAAGCTTTAGCTATTACAAACTGTGCCACTATAAACATGGGTGTACATATATTACTGTGGTATGATTCTTTTAATTCTTTTGGGAAGATACCCAGCAGAGGAGTAGCTGGGTCAAATGGGACCTGTAGTCCTAGTTCTCTGAGGTATCTCCATACTGATTTCCACAATGGTTGCACCACCCTGCACTCCCACCAACAATGGAGAAGGGTTCCTTTCTCCCCACATTCCTGCCAGCATTTGTTATTGGTTGATTTCTTGATAGCAGCCATTCTTTGTGGGGTGAGGTGAAATCTCAGTGTTGTTTTAATCTGCAACTCTCAAATGACCAGTGATGTTGAACATTTTTTCATATATTTATTTGCTGCTTTTATTTCTTTGTCTGAGAAATGTCTGTTCATTTCAGATGCCCGTTTTTGAATTGGGTCTTTGAATTTGAGGGGATCTGGTTTTTTCAGTTCTTTATATATTCTAGATAGTAGTCCTTTGTCCGAGATACAGGTGCTAACTTTTTTCCCCAAATTGTAGGTTGTCTCTTAGCTCTTAGTGGTTTCTTAATAGTGTCTCTTAATAGTGTCTTAATAGTGTCTCTTAATAGTGGTTTCTTTTGCAGTGCAGAAGCTTTTTAATAAGGTGAGACCCCAGTTGTTGGTTCTTTGTGTTAGTTCCCGTGCTACAGAGGTTTTGTTCATAAAGGCTTTTCCTATGCCAATACCTTCAAGAGTTCTACCTAACTTATCTTCCAGCAAGTTTAGTGTTTCTATTTTAATATTTACATCTTTAATCCACTTCAATCTTAGTTTAGTGCATGGTGGGTCTAGTTTTAATCTTTGGGAGGTTAAAATCAAGTTTTTCCAATACCATTTATTAGATAGGCTATCTTTCCTCCAGTGATGGTGGTTGGCTCCTTTGTCAAAGATGAGGTGGCTGAGTATGTCTGGAGTTGTTTCTGCATCTTCCAATCTATTCCACTGATCCTCAGGTCTGTTATTTTGCCAGTACCAAGCTGTTTCTATCACAGTAGCTTTGTAGTATAGTTTCAAGTTGGGGATTGTGATACCCCATGCCATGTCTCTGTTGCTTAGAATTGCTTTTACTATTCTAGGTCTCTTCTGGTTCCAAATGAATTTTTGGATTGTTTTCTCTAGTTCTGTGATGTGTATTGTTGGAATTTCAATCAGTGTTGCATTAAATCTATATATTAGTTTTGGAAGTACAGCCATTTTCATTATTTTGGTTCGTCCTACCCAGGAGCAAGGGATGTCTTTCTATTTTCTTATATCCTCTTTGATCTCTTTTTTCAGAGTGCTTTAGTTTTCAGTGTAGAGGTCTTTTGCTTCCTTTGTTAGATTGATTCCTAGATATTTCATTTTTTTGGATGCTACTGT